ATTTGAAAAAACTTTTTAGTGCCACTTGTTTATTCACCTGAGATTTCCCTACGGTGTATCTAAACCTTGCAGTGTTGCAACCTCCTATGTTATCCACATTCTACATAATTCGGCGGAACATAGTTCTACATTTATAAATTCATAGACAAATTTCTACTCAAAAAATTAGGAATGTTAAATTTAATCTTTTATCAGTGCTCATTATTAATAATTATAGAAAAAAAACACATTAATTATTTTTAGTACTTACTCTTTCAATGAAAACTTAACAAAAACCACCGAAAATTAACTAAAACATTACGTTTATGACGTTTACGAAAATCTTTGTTATGCTGCAAAATAACTTTATTTTGGAATAAATTTTATAAAATGATTCATATTATTCACAATCAGGTCACAAAAAGAAATTCCTAAAATGTTTATCGTAATTTAGAATTCAATTCAAGAAATTTAGAAAACAGCCCAATGAATAATCGATTCATTTTTGTTTTGTTTGTTTTCTTTCATGTTTCTCTGTTTTATTTGAACCACTGTTTTACAAAACACCTTGAAAAGCGTACATTACTTTGAATACCTTTCTGAATGAATAAATGTTGAGAATTATTGTCTCTTATCGCCACTTTACGAACTACTTTCAATCTAAGAAAATACAAGTTTCACTCAACAATTATTGACAACGTATTTTGTTTTTTCGCTATTTTTTCGATGTATTTTGACAATTCCATCGACAGCCTAACCGTCAGCCAAGAACTGCCGCGTGTGAACTGGTCCTTTGAATCGCCGGTCGCCGCGCCGTCGTGGTTTGGACCACAAGCTCGACACGGCGGCGCGACAAAGGAGCAGTTACCAGTGATGCGCCGCTCTCTTGGCCGACGGCCGACGCGACGTTTGGGCTGTCGATGGAATTGTTGAATTACATAGAAAAAATAGCGAAAAAACAAAATACGTACTTAAAATTGTTGAGTGAAACATGTATTTTCTTAGATTGAAAGTAGTTCGGAAAGTGGCGGTAAGAGACAATAATTCTCAACATTTATTCATTCAGAAAGGTATTCAAAGTAATGTGTGCTTTTCAAGGTGTTTTGTAAATCAGTGATTCAAATTGTTCAAAACGGGGACTGTTATTTTAGCAGTTATTATAATAGCATGTACAAGTAAAGCAGCACAGTGAAGTGTATTTTAGTTACCTAAGTGTATATCGAAAAAGAGAACTGTCACAGTTACATCGATCTGTCATAATGTCAACATTTAACTTTTAATTTATTTTATGTAATAATATCACAATCTTAAAATGTAATGCATCTCTGCAAACTCCTCAGGTGTTGTGATTTTATGACTTACTTTTAACATATACTTTCTTGTCCATATGGCAACACAGTGCATCGAATTAACTGAAATCAGGCTTGATCCGGGTAATTGGATGTAGTTGGCGATATCTGCCGGCGGTTCTCAAAATGTTGCGATTATTTTTTTAAATTTTCAAAGTTAAATAACTCGGTTATTTTCAATTTATTTTAAAAATGGTAAAGAGAAAATATGTTTATTTTGACCAGATCTACCACCCCTTAAAATATCTGCACTCATTTCTGGGACACCCTGTATAATCTATAGGGTAATAAGGAAAAACAAATATAAAATGTAATAAAATTCGAATAAATAAATTAAAAGTGTTCAATAAAAATTTAACGATTTCTCTCGCACATCACGCAAGCAGCGAAGAGCGAGACGTAAATATAAATCATGCAATCGGCCAAATCGAAAAAATCACAAAGTTTCGCCGCAAATAAAACGATTTGCATATCATTTAGCGACATCTATATGCGCAAGTTATCGCCGTCTCGTCCCACATACGGAACGCTACAGAAGTTAAAAACATTAATTTACAGTTACCGATTCGATTTACAACATCACTACCGTTTAATGTCGCTCAGGTGTAGAGAATCGACGGCTGATGAATAATACCGACGGATTTATGTCAGAAAAATACATAAATTTGAGGAAAAAATAATCTTGTGGGATTCATCGTTGGAAAAAATTAAATATAAGTATTCATATAGAAGAGATGAGCGATTTCGTGATGTTTAAATCACACATTGTCAGTGATAGATGTGTCTGTCATTTTAATTTCAAAGTAGTTTATTTTATTTTACAAAGAAATAAGTTGGTACAATTGGAACGCATAGCAGGAAATTAATATATTCTTTGAATAAGAAGACTAAGGAAGGAGCATATCAAAAATCTTAGGTACACCGCGATGGGCCTCAAATATGGCCGACTTAAATTCCGGTTTATCAGTGTCGTTCTAATTTTATTTAAAAAATGTAAAACTATGATGTAGGGTAGACGTGGGGTAGACTCAATATTTTTTTTTGTATTTTACGTTGTGAATAAATGTTGGTAGTTATTAAAATTGTTATAAAAACATATTATTATAATAAAAATAGATAAGTTTTAATAATTATTTATTAACACAAACATCCGATACGCTACTGAAGCAGGTAAGTCAAATTGACGTATCTAAATTCTTAGACATCTAATCTTTGACAAGTAGTAAATAAAAGCAAAAATGCAAGAAAAAATATATAATTAGTTAATTTAAGGAAATTGTATAATGATCGGTTCACTACACATATGTATATTATATAGGTAGTCACTTACTAGCAAAAAGTTGTTCCATTATTTCACTCGATTTTTGCCGAGATCTACCGCACGCTACACAACCAACTATTTTAGAGTCTTTTTCGATAAATCGCGATAGTGTCACTGTTAATTTAAGTTCTGCCACTATTTCCATCTAGATTTACTACCTTTATACGACTATCAGTAGTAGAATAAATAATAAATAACATAAAATAAGCTCCGTAAAGACTGACAAATCCACAAAATTTCAAATCAAATTCAGATGTGTCAAATGAATCGTCAAACAGAACTGTCAAGGATCCCCACCCTAGAGAGCTTTTATGGTGGCTTTTCCGCCCACCATGCATGAATACATGGATAGCATTATGCTCCTTCCTTAGTCTTCTTATTCAAAGAATATATTTAAAATTTGAGTGACAAGTGATTACTTCAAAATATTGTGAAAAGAACTGTATAAAACTGAAAAAATCTAATCGAGTTATTTTTATTTAAAAATAAAATGGTATGTGTTAATATAAAACAAACAAGAACAAAACCAAATAATATAAAAAAGAACTATTTCTTACTTTCAAACTTGAAGAAACTTCCTCCATTTATTATTATATTTATCAATATAATTTATGTACAAATACAAATTTGTCTTATTCCACAGGAATAAATAAAACAACATAAATAAAACAAACTATTTTATTAATAATAACACTTACAGAATTTTATAGCTTAAAGATTGATTAATTAACTTTAATCTTATTTTTTTTAAACCAGTACCTTTTGACATTATTTTTCTGCAGTACTAAAATCCATTATTTACCTATCGTTTGATTTCGTCATTTTACAGCTACTCCAGTCTTTAGTATATGTTTAGTAGAATACTTGCACAGTATACAAGATGCACTTATTTATGACTAGATGGTATACAAACTTTATTGATTGTAACTTTATTGATGTATAAGACTTTCTGCCTGGGCACCGAATATTAACTATAAACTGTGCTCTGGATCTACAGTTAATTTTCCCCTGATTTTTCCTCCACTTGACTTCAAAAAAGTGTGACATTTGACAGCGTATGTTATTTTTGGTAGTACGAAGAGAGAACACTAATAACTAAAGTGAGAGAGACCGATCAACGTTAATTTTTGAAGACTGTATTAGTGGCGCGGCCTAACCCGAACTATGAGCGCATTATCGATATAGTAGGTTGCATTCATACCTATATACTGGCGCGAAAAATTTAAAATTTGTATATTTGAACCGAATCTTAATCTTTCAAGTTTATAATAAGAAATCTTCGTAGTTTTTTTAGATTATTTTTTTGTTTAGAAAATTTATTATTAGACTTTAAAGCATTAAAACCTATAAATAAAATACTGTGTAGGAACATAATAATTTATTTAACTCCATACTCCTTGCCATACTCCAACTCAAGGCTGCAATCTTCAGTATCTTTTTTATCTAACTTGGTTGGGAGTGAACAGGGAAGCACGGTTGGAAGCTCGCACAAAGTATCAGTAGGTATCCCGTAGGTATTCATGGTTTTTGATAGTCTTTATTCTATAACAAGAACCTAGCAGTTTAAGAAAATAATTTGTATTACTGGAAATAATACCAGGTATAATACCTAGTCGTTACATAGGTATCAAAAACGAATGTGTTGTTTTAAATTAAAAAAAAATTAAATTAGCAACATACGATTATTATGTGCACTCACTATTACTATTAGGTATGTTAAAATAATTACCGAGATAAAACTTACCCTTAAAGGAAACGTTTTGTCTGGGTCTCAACCACAAAACAAAAATTACGAAAATGCCGAATAATCGTGGAATCTGAAATAATCAATAATGACAATAATCTTCTCTTCTGACAAGCTAAAAGAACAAGCACATTCAGTCAAAAACAATTTATTACTCCGATTTGCTCCGATTATCAACAGCTTTTAGTTATCTCCTTCTAGAACTAGGAAATAGAAAAAACTACTGACAATCTAATTAATCCTGTCAAATGTTTAACTTGCAAAGTCGAAAACTTTCTTTTTTGACCGCCTAAACGCTAGGCGCGTCTGGGATGCGCGGTGACAAAATAAACTTGTCTACGAAATGCCCTATTCCACAAGCCCTCTCATTTTAGTTATTAGTTTCTCTCTGGTAGTACGTCATAATATTTGACTAAGAACCTTACAATATAAATAAATTTTTTATGAATATTCTATCTTCAAAAAAAGTTGGATAAAATAAAATGAAAGCTCTGTACCTTTGAATAAAAAAAAATAAAGAAAGCAGTTTATACCTATATCAACAATTTTTTTTATATATGTATGGATTATTAGTTCATGTAATTAATTCAAATTTATTTTTTTGCAGAAAATCATGCCTGAAACAGTGACTACCACCGCTTCCGAGGAACGACCCTTAGCCTTATCGAGGCGTGACTTCCCCTTGCCATCGCCAGGAAGTTCCAATAGGTCTTCTTCTGGTGGCAGATATGAGGGCCAAATGGCTTATCACCAGGTACGATAACATTACCCGTCTATAGAGTGTCTCAAATTTATCAAACTTTCTTTTTAATTCATCCTTTTGGGTCTGGTTCAAAGAAGTGTACTTTTTCCACCTCTAAAGATAGGTATTTTCTTTTATGTTTTATCTATCTAAGTTTATATCACCATGTTAGGTATTTTCTATGCACTCTGAAATCGCCTAAAAAATAGTCAAAAATGGCCAATTTTTTGACAATTTGATTCATTTTAAAAAAGTGTTCAAAAACCAGAGTTGAAAATATCGAGCTTCTGATAATATTAAAGCATTAATTCCTTTCATAGTTTATAGATTCAAAAAGTACATAGAATTTGCTACAAATCCTGCAATTTTCATAATTGTATCACTATGTATACTATTTTTTCCGGCTCTCTGAAAACGGGTAAAAATAGCCAAGAATAGACTATTTTTCGACTTTTTTTCCATTATGAAAATTGATGATTTTGGTCACCGATTTTCATGAAAATAGTGTTATTAACTAACTTCTTCTTCCTTCTTCATACTAGGCGAATCGCCTGTTTGGCTTCGTCGTCTCTACCGGTCAGACTGACAAGTTGTTGCTCCATCGTTTTCGTGGACGTCCTAAGCTTCTGCTACCTAGCGGTGATTTGCGCGTGCAACTCTCACTATCCTTCTGTTGTCCATTCTGCTGATATGCTCGTTCCATTCTTCCTTTCTGCTGAGTACCCACTCATTTACATTTTCCACCTTGCACGCTCTTCTTATGCTTTCATTTCTCTCCCTGTCCAGAAGCGTCTTTCCAGCTATTCTGCGTAGTACTCTCATTTCGGTTGTTTCTAGTAGTTGTTTAGTTTTCGCTGTATCAGGTCGAGTTTCTGCAGTGTATGTCATTATTGGTCGTACCGTTGCCTTGTAAATTAAACAAAAAAAAATTAACTAACTAAAAGGTACAAAATAAGAAAAAAATAGTTCATTTTGGTCGTAAGGTTACGGTACTATGTCAACTATCTGATAAAACCAAAGCATTAATGCTTTTAGAGGTTTATAGATTCAAAAAGTACATAGAATTTGCTACAAATCCAATTTTCATAATTTTATCACAATGTATAATATTGTTTTTCCAAGCGCTCTGAAAACGACTAAAAAATAGCCAAAAATAGACAATTTTTCGAGTTTTTTCCATACATATGGTCATGAAAATTGGCGATTTTGGTCTATTCTCCGTTTTTCACGAGAACACTGATAACTAACTAAAACGCGTAAAATAAGAAAATATAGTCCATTTTGGTCGTACGAGTACAATACTAGATGTAAGCAAAAAAGTCTTGAAAAATTTGAATTTCTAATAAAGTCAAAATAAACAATATTTGGACCTTTTATTTATTTTATATAAGCTTTTATTTTAAATGCTCGTTAATTACTGAATGACGACTCTATGTCATGTACACGAATTTTTTTTATAACATTGATTATTTTTATGCATAGCAGTAATTCTTTGAGTTTAAAGCTACCAAATATATTGGTAGACTATCGCAGGCCAATTTTGAGACACTCTATATACTTCTATCCTCCATACCGATACCGACAGAAACTATTTAAAATTTTTGGTTTGTTCCACGTTATCGTAGGTTTCGCTGTCGACAAGCATGAGTCATCATAGAGAAAGCTCAGCATTTGTACCTGTGGTACCTTCAAGAAATATGCCTCATCCCATGTTGTATCCTGGTGAGATCCATCCCTTGTTAGGGCTGGAGAACAGGGAACGAAGTGGCGAAGGAAATAAAAATAGTGAAGGTAAACATAAAGAAAATATTGATCCATTTAAAAAAAATCGGACAATATAAATCCTCACATTTACAGGTTCAACGCCTTTGAGGAAATCCACTTCGTCCTTTGAACTGATGGCTATGATGGCCGATAAAAGGAAGGAGCTGCAGCTTCGAGAGGAAGCCGCTTGTGTAGCCGCAGCTGCTCACGCGGCTGCGCTGATGTTACCTCATCGACCCGGACCACCGGGTGCTCTGTTGGAACCTTCCGGCAACCAGCAACCTCACGGTTATCCTGGGTTTCTTCCTAGCAGCCCTGCCAATGCTGGTAGCTTTACCTTTCCTGGAGGTGGTGCTCTATTTCCACCAGGTAGGTGTACCCGTATAATATATTGTAATTGGTATTCACTTGATCATAGGTTGACTTAAGGTTTCGCATTGCAATAGATCAGTCCCTTGTTATAACAATGTTTTTTCGCTCTAGGACCACCTCAAATGCATGCTCATTTAGATCGAAGACTTCTAAGGGCTCCAGGAAGGGCTTCCAGACCTAAGAAACAGTTCATCTGTAAATTCTGTAACAGACAGTTCACCAAAAGCTACAACCTGTTGATCCACGAAAGAACTCACACGGATGAGAGGCCTTACAGCTGTGACATTTGTGGTAAGGCCTTCAGACGTCAAGATCACCTAAGGGATCACAGGTTAGTCTTATTTTATTTTAATTATATTATTATTTTTATTTAATTGTTAGTCATTTCGATCAGTCTTGTTCAGAGTTCTTTCGTTCTAACTGTTTCGTTTTTTAGAGAGATCTCTTTCGAAGACAAACATTATTAATATTTGTCAAAGAAAGAAATAGATCCTCATTTTGAAATGGAAGAATTCAGATATAAGTTGATACTTCTGGGATATCACAGAACTGGTTTTGAATGGGGCTTGTATTAATCGTTTGGGTTGGTCAGAGCAGTTTGAAATAGGAACACAATTTTTTATTTGTTTTCCTTTGAGTCAATATAATTTTTTTCGTAAATTATTTGATCTTATTTTTCGTTCTCATGAAAACTTCAGTATTTATTATTATTATATGTAATGATATTTTAACAGAACTTGGTAACAATTATTTTTTTTAATACAAAAATTATGATAATAATAATGCTAATAACACTTAACTTCTATACAGAATACACTGACTTTAGAAGTAAATTGTTGTGGCTTAAAATTAAAAAAAAAACTCTTTAATCTGTTCAATATTCTAATTTGTTTACTAACAGAATTTTGCCTACGAATTAGGAGTAGATATGTATATTTTAAGAGAAAAATATCGATATTGGAACTATCAAAAAATATCGATTACATTTTCATGCATTGAAAAAAATTTAAACGATAAGAGACAACATTGTTGTTCATGGCCTACCACTAAATTTTTTATGGGTGACATGAAAATTATAATTTTTGACATTGTTGAATAAAATAGAAGTATATATTATTACATATTTTCGAGAAGCTTCAAAATTGAAAATGTTTTAAAAATAAATGATATTCAAAAATATCGATATCGATATTTGGAAATATCGATAATTTTTTACATTCCTAGTTGGGACGAAAAAAAACTTTGAATAAACCGATCTGTCATAAAAATAGATTTTCGAAAAATATCGATGTTGATATTAAAATCGATCTTTGGATATATCGATAAATTTTTACTTTCGTGGTTTCTTTTCAATACTTTCAATGTCTTTCAATACTAAATTTCAAAAATATCGATATCGATAATTTTAATATCGATATTTTGAAATATCGATCTTTTTGCACATTTCTAGTTTCGAATAAAGCCTTTGACAGAAACGGACCGATCTGCCCATCGGTTTTTAACACCGATTTAAAAAAAAATATCGATATTATAAAACATCGATATTTTTGCACATCCCTACTTCGGATGAAGCCTTTGAACGGACCGATCTGTCCGATGAGAAGAAGTTGTTGACCTCCCGTCCAGGTGTAGTACCATTTACACTTAGGCCACAATGCATCATCGTACGTATTATAGAACTATCCTACGGATAGCGTTGTATTACTGCGGTCGACTAGTGTGTAGGCTAAATACAGTGAAAAAATCGACCACAGTACCACTGCCCACGGACAAGAGCACTGTTGTAAAACGATTTAGACTAATTTCTTGTCGATGTTTTGCTAGTCGGAGATTTGTCTCAAATAAGTACCGAAAAAAAATCACCCACAGACTATTATGTTTGTTGTTTTTTAAAGCCCGAATCGTACGAATATTAGGGATGCACGATTTTTTTTTAATAATGTCGGTATTATATATCGATTTAGAAAGCTATCGATCAGGAAGAGATCGATAATATACAGGGTGGTCCTAACTGTATTCCGGAAACTTCGACAGCATATTCTGCAGATAAAAGTAAGTAAAAGAGTTCGTATAAATGAATGTCCTAAAATTCTTAGTTTCGGAGATACAGGGTGTAGAAGTTTCATTTTTATTTCGATTTTTTCCAAATAATTTCTGAAGTAACGTCAATATTTCGATAAAAATTGGTGCCTGGGAGTTTTTTGACATGAGAAATTTGATTTTGAGGTCAATAAAACTCCTACTTGTAGAGGGCGCCACCTACGTATGTTTTAACTGGTTTGAAGAGTAATAACTTTTAGTCCACATCTGTATAAAACTACTTAGTAAAAAAATATACATTTACGACGTTTTTTACCTAAAAAAGGTCTCTTTGTAAAAATCGCTACGAGTAATGGTTTTCGAGATATTTGGAATCAAAATTATGAATACCTGTCATCATTGACATAAATTAAACAAACTGACGGAATATTTATTAAATGGAAATCATAAGTTTGAAATATTTTTGTGCTAAAAGTTCAACAGAAAATGTTTTAAAAAATTGTCATTTTTTCGAAGAAAAATTTATGATTAATTAAAAAAAATCCAAATTTATTATTTCAGTTTGTCAATAATGACATGTATTGACTATTTCCGTTCTAAATATCTCGAGAACCATTACTCGTAGCGATTTTTACCAAGACACATTTTTTACGTAGATAGTCACGGAAATGTATATTTTTTTACTCAGAAGTTTTATACAGGTACGGACGAAAAGTTATTTACTTTAAAACCGTTAAAACACATGTAGGTGGCGCCACCTACAAATAGGAGTCATATTGACATCAAAATCAAATTTCTCATGTCAAAAAACTTCCAGACACCAATTTTCAGCCAAATATTGATGTTACTTCAGAAATTATTTGGAAAAAATCGTAATAAAAAGGAAAATTCTACACTCTGTATCTCCGAAACTAAGCATTTTAGGACATACATTTATACGAACTTTTTTACTTATTTTTATTTGCAGAATATGCTAGCGAAGTTTCCGGAATACAGTTCGGACCACCCTGTATCCAAACCTCGAAGGATACTTTTTTTTATTACTATCTCGAAATTTAGTTAATCTCTTTACAACAATAACATTTCTCTACTCGGTATGCAATAAACTATTATTAATTTTAACGAAGAAAAAGCTGTATAAAATTATTAAGCCTCCCAACGGGTGCCCAAAGGACATCTCACCAACTCTTAATGGAAGTTTGGAAAAAAAGAAAGAGCCAAGATCCAAAGGGGGTCGTTTGTCGAGGGATTTAAGATAAAATCTTCCTTTTACCGAAACACGTCTCGAATACCAACTTCTCTTCTTTCTCTCTTCTAGTATGTGCTGGCCACGATCGTATTTTAGTAGGTGTGTTGGGCTGTCTACCTTAATTTTACTCCCAGTGGCGTACTAACTATGGAACTTTATGTCTTATATTATGAGGCTAATACTAAAACCTTAGATTAAATAATATACTAGAAGTTACAGCGTTCAAACGACAAACGTCAAAAATGAAGAAACACATTACTAAAAATTGTATTAATCAATAATAAATATGTAAAAAGTAAAAATAAATATGTAAAAATATGTAAAAATTAAAAAAAAAACGATTAAAAAAAGTCGCCTTGACTAGGATTCGAACTTGCCTTACTACGGCTCCAACGTCATAGCAGCGTAAAGTAACTAACTCTTTGATCACGCGGCCACCGAGGACTTGAAAGATTCTATGTAAAATTCTTACTTAAAAGATAATGTTTAGTGGAAGTACTTTTTTATTTATAAACATTTATTTAATTCTGTTTTTAGTATTTCTTCTTATAGCGGCAACATAGATATATTATCTGTGAAAATTTCAACTGTCTAGCTATAGTCTGTGAAACGAATAACTTTGAATTTGACAGTTCCCGCGGGCTTTTCTAGTGTTAATTTTATTAGGTTAGCAACTTGCGGCCATGCTGACGTAATGCCGTCTCTAATAGAACAGCCACGAAGCGAGATTTATGACGTCACGCTAGTTAGATACTACGGATTAATAAATATGTTGTAGAATACATGGTAAACATAATTATTCCTCGTATGATTTGTATTTTAAAAATGATATAGTTTACATGAAATATACATAATATAAAGTTAATAAATACAATACATATACCTATTTATAGAAATAAATACTTTGGCAAATAAACTATGAACCATACAAATGCAGCAAATGTTTTACAATATACAAATAATGAATAGGTACATAAGATAATGGGTAAAATGTAAAATATATTTTAAATTTTGGGGTTTGAAAATCGATCTAATTTAACAAAAAAACATTCAATATCTACTAATAGTGATGTATTATTATTTGCAGTCAGAAAATTTATATGTATATTTTGCAAGTATCAATGTTCGAAAAATTATATTTGCAAATAATACAATATCATAGAAAAAAAGGCGTCAGCGAAGGCTATGAAATAAAGATGGCTGATTTTATATGGAAAATTATTCTAAAATTTTTATTTCTTGAGCTTTAGGGCCGGGAAAAACGCTGATTAAGTTTTCATTGGGTTTTTCATTATTTTTTATTTGGTTTAAAAAAAGAACGTTTCGGCTAACATTATAGCCTTCATCAGTGTTGTGCATATGAAAAAAATTGTGTCGAAAATTAACATATAAAATATTCACAACCTAACCTAACACCACATAATTTTTTACTGCAATTAATATATTAATATAAACTTGTCAAAAGATGACCACATATTTGTATATTGTAAAACATTTGCTGCATTTGTATGGTTCCTAGTTTATTTGCCAAAGTATGTATTACTATAAATAGGTATATATATTGTATTTATTAAATGTATATTATGTATATTTCATGTAAAGAATATCATTTTTAAAATACAAACCAAAAATAGAGGAATAATTATGTTTTCCATGTATTCTACAACATATTTATTAATCCGTAGTATCTAACTAGCGTGACGTCATAAATGTCTCCCGAGGCTGTTCTATTAGAGACGGCATTGGTCTGATATTTAGAAATGTCAAAAGCTGATGACATTTTACTTTTGACAATTATGACATTTCGTGTTGATTTTTGCAAGAAGAGGAAGAACTGTCACTTGTTTTATTATTTTCCTTTTCTATTTTACGAAAGTAAAAAGAGTTACCTATCTGATTCGTTCAGGCACTCAATTTAAAGAATATCAGTAACTTTTTTGACAGAGGGATTTTATATTTACCATGTTGGTAAAAAATAACGGTCAAAATTCAAAGTTATTCATTTTATAGACTATATAACGGTTCATAAGATTGATCTTTGT